CCCACTGTTCATGATCGTACCCCTTTTTCTGACTCTCAACGGAAGTTTAACCTTGTGTTACATGGGATTCCTGAGAACCCACATGGAACTAGTCTTCGTGTACGTCAGAGACAGGATCATGACAAGGTAGCATCTGTTCTAGGAGACTCTGTTCCTTCCCTCTCCTCTGTTTCAGTGCGGGACTGCCTGCGATTAGGGAAGTACGATCGTCACTCCACAAAACCCCGTTCTCTGTTGGTCAAGTTTAACAGCTCCAAGGATGTCCAGTCTATCCTTTCTGAACGTACTAACATTCACACATCTGATGGTTCTCCGGTCTATGTTAAGAGAGACCTACCCTTAAAGGAGAGGAAGATTGAATCCTATCTGTTAAAGGAGCGTCGTTCTCTCCTCGACAAGGGGACTGCTCGGTCAAGTATTAAAATCAGGGGCTCTGGCTTATACATAGATACCCTGCTTCATGGTCGTGCTGATATCACAGGTTTCACCTGCCAATCAGCTGCTCACAGTGACGTCACCCCTACTCATCCAAGCACACCTGTCTCCCTAGAGACTAATACTCAGTTTGAGAACTCCCCCTCCTCTGATCCTTGTCCATCCATCCAGGATTGACTAGGAGTGTGTTCATGGAACGCTAGGAGTATCGTGAATAAGCTTGGCACTTTTCAATCTCTGGTCTATTCTCTCTCCCCATTTGTGTTTGCATTAACTGAGACTTGGTTATCTGATTTCATCATTAATGGAGAAATTCTCCCGACTAACTACAACATTTACAGATCTGACCGCGATGGCCGGGGTGGAGGTGTTCTCTTGGCAGTCCACCAGTCTCTTCCAGTTTCTGTTGTGGCTACTCCCCCCTCACTCAAGGTTGTCACATTACTGATTACCTATGATAGATCTATATCTATCTGTGTATGTACTGTATATATTCCCCACTCTCATGACTTGGTTTACTTCAAGTCAGTACTAGATTATCTAGACCACCTATTCTCCACTTATGACACAGTATATATCCTGGGAGACTTCAATTGCCCTGACATTACCTGGGCTACACTCTCTGCCTCCACTGAGTTTTCATTTCTTCTCTGTGATTTTATTTTCCAAAGAAACCTTTTACAACTAGTTGAATATCCTACCCACACCAAAGGAGCCATCTTGGACCTCATAATTACTAACTCAGCTGGCTCTGTTAGGGGTTTAGAGGTTTGTTCTGACAAATTCCTCTTTTCTGATCACTTCTTAATTAGATTTCAATTATCTTTTGACATGCCCCGCCCGTCAAGTTACTCTCGGCCTCGCTCCTTCTCAAACTATTCCAAAAGTGACTTTGACAGTATGAATGTCTTTCTTCAGGAGTACGACTTTACTGCTTGTATGTTGTCTTCCGATGTAGATGAGATATGGTCTATTTTGAAATCGGCATTATCAGAAGCAGTTTCACACTTCTCTCCATCTGTTACGAGTCGCACCCGCTCTCACCCTAAGTGGTTCACCCCTGAGACGCGTCACAAAATTAATAGACTCCACTCTCTTAGAAGGAGACATCATCGTCGCCCAACCTGGGACACTGGTGAGAGGATTAATAAGCAGGAGCAAGACCTTTTGGATCACATATCTGCTGCTAAGACAACCTATGAGTCAAATTTGGTTTCCAATTCCTCCCCAACCAACACATCTATACTTTCCAACTACATCAAATCTATTACTCAAACTCACTCATTACCCCCAGTCATGTTTCTTGATCACTTATCTTTCTCAGATGATGTTGGTAAGGCAAACCCATTTAACAACTATTTCTATTCTGTCTTCTCAACTTTTACTTCCAACAATATTCTGTCTGCTGACACCTCTCCAGTCGACTATTTAAGTAACATCAGTTTCTCAGCTATGGACGTATATCAGGCTCTAATTAAGCTTGACACATCCAAGGCGATGGGCATCGACTGTGTCAGTCCTCACATTCTAAAGAACTGTGCTATAGCTTTGCACATCCCAATTCACCACCTCTTTGCACAGTCACTACTATATGGAAAACTTCCCTGGGAATGGAAGATCCACCTAATTACTCCTGTCTTTAAATCTGGCGATAGATCATCCGTCAAGAATTATAGACCAATCTCCTTGCTCTGCTCCCTGTCCAAGGTCCTAGAGCGTTTAGTCTTTGACCAAATGATTCTCTTCCTGTCTCCAAGCATTTCTATATCTCAATTTGGCTTTCTCAAAGGAAAATCCACTCAACAGCAGCTGCTGCTAATGGTCAATCTCATCTCAAATAACTTGGACAAAAACATGGCAACAGACATTGCCTACTTGGATTTACAAAAAGCCTTCGATACAGTTCCCCATGAACTGCTTCTTAACAAGCTTCAATCTCTCGGGATATCAGGCTTATTATTCACCTGGCTGAGTGACTACCTGTTTAACAGAACCCAGGTCGTCTCTGTCAATGGTGCTTTATCTACATCTCTTGACGTCCTTTCTGGGGTCCCTCAAGGGAGTATCCTGGGACCGCTCTTGTTCCTACTCTTTATTAATGACCTCCCTGCCTCTGTGAAACACTCTCTTTACTTTTTGCAGACGACACCAAGTGTGCTCTTTCATGCAATCCCACATTTATCAGCAACCAAAACCTTCAGGAAGACCTAGACATGCTTGGACAGTGGTGCTGTGACAATGGCATGTCCTTCAATGAGATGAAAAGTGTCATTCTCAGAGTCTCGAACAAATCATCGTCTCCTTCCTATACCATCAACAGTGTCCCGCTCCTGGCCGCCAATACTCATAAAGACCTTGGAGTCTTTTTCACTTCTGACTTTACCTGGTCGAACCACATCTCCTCCATTGTTAAAAATGCTTACAAGACACTAGGCCTAATTAGAAGATCTTTCAGTGCCTCTGTTGACACTCGTACTAGAAGAGACTTATACTTATACCTTGTACGTTCACAGCTCTTATACTGTTCGCTTATCTGGAGGCCCTACCTTATCAAAGACATAAAACTGCTAGAGCAAGTCCAGAGGAGAGCCACTAAATATATCCTTAATGATTATGTCTCGGACTACAAGTCCCGCCTTACCTCTCTGAACATGCTACCTCTAATGATGGTGTTAGAACTGAATGACCTATCATTCTTTATCAATAATACAAGTAAACCCTCTCCGTCATTTGACATTTTGAACTTTATTAGATTCTCAGACTCCTCTACAAGATTCTCTTCTCAATCTAAACTTCTCTATGCTAGTCCTTCTTCTAGTAAAACCCGCCATTCATATTTCAACAGGCTCCCCAGGCTCTGGAATCATCTCCCCTATATCGATCCAAACCTCTCTGCTGCATCGGCTATTTCCCGCATCAAGATCTACTTTTGGGATCAGTTTCTCCTACATTTTGACTCGTCTGATGTATGCAGTTACCATCTGGTTTGTCCCTGCAATAGATGTCATATCCTAAAGCCAATCTAATTCAGCTTATAGTCATTATTATTACTTTACTTTATTATTACTATTGTTTTAACTCTGATTGCATTTTATTTCCTCTTAGCTAGCTACTCATTTGTCTTCCTTTTTTCTTTTCTTTTCTTTTTTTTTCCTTCTCTTTTTCTCTTTCTTTTTTCTGGCTGGCCAAGCTTCCTTGGTCAGGCCTTCAGTGTTTCTTCTGTCTAGTTCTCTTCCCTCCTCTTATCTATCACTCTTAACGTCACTGTAAAGTTTTAAATAAATAAATAAATAAATAAATAAATAAAGAAGCATAGATGCTTGTAAATACGTTGCTTGATGGGTGAAATTAGTCCTTTTTTTGCCTAATAATGCAATAGCCCTGATGTAAAGAAGTGGGATCATTATCATTTCTTATTCTTAGTATGGTAATGCAAGACAAAACTCAAAATTCCACTTACAAGTGATTGCTTATGTTTGCTATTTTGAGTCTTTATCTTGCATTGCCATACTGAGAATAAGACTCAAAATAGCAAACTTAAGCATTCACCTATAAGTGGATTTTTGAGTTTTTTCTTGCACTGCCATACTAATAGTGCATTTACACTAACAAAGTGGGCCAAACCCTGCAGAACCAGGCTGAGCTGGCCCTGCTGTACTAACCATGCTGGCCTGGTTTGGCCTATCTCACTTCCGCTCAGTTTGGTACTATTTACACTAACTATCAAATGAAACTGTGCTGGCCCAATTTAAACAGGCCTGGCTCTGTTAAAGAAGCTGGTGTAAACGTAGAATAAGAATAAGGAATGGTAGTGATCCCATTCCTTTACATTAGTACTATTATTAGGCAGAAAAATAAACGATCAATTACAGCTTTCCTTGTACTAAAAGGACAGTCATTTAATGATATTATTAACTGCATGAGAACGAAAAAATTAAATCATCTATGCTTTTTTTAATCATTAGTATAAGTAATTGTTTAAATGCCATTTTTTAGTTTGGGCATCTACAATATGAACAGTTAGCATTAAAGCTAAACTACTATGTACTCCAAGTCCATCAGCTCTTCTGTCACTGTATGGAATTGATAAATTACTGGACTACTAACTGATTTGATCACTATATAAAATTCATTTAAATGCATCAGTGGAATGATTTCAACTCATTTCTCACTAAATAAATTCCAACAATCATAATATGGCGCGATTTAAGGTAGAAATTTTAGCAAAATAACCGATACAGCCTTGACTAATACTGCTTGGAATAATATTAAACTGTAATGAACATGTTGCTGTTGCAGAGATAGTTTGTTGCTAGTCTTGCGTAGCCAGCTCCTCCCTATGTGCCTATGCGAGGGTCTGGCAGGGCAAATTGACCACACTCCGCCTTTTCTGTTTCACCCAAAATTGGGTGAACCAGAAGTATGGCGTCACAATGCAATGTCACATATCTCCTCAAATTACCATAAATTTGACCGTTTACTTACACATGGTTGAAATTAGTCTACCCAACCCACTTGAGTCTGACATGCAAAACTAAATTCAAACACAGTTCAAACTTCAAGCTATGTCTCTTCCAGCTGCAGATTCTCTCTTATTAGCCGAGGCTAAAGTTGGTATAACTCTGAAAGACAAACAAAGAGAAGCAGTGCTTGCTGTTTTACAGAATAAAGATGTTTTTTGTGTTTTACCAACTGGTTGTGGCAAGTCCCTATTGTATGGCATACTTCCTACATTCCAGCTTTTGACTACATAGTGGTTAAGTTAGTATCAAACACTAAGCATTAAAGTTATTTTGCACTAGGCAGAGAAGTGGGAGTGAGAAAAGTTGTATGTATTTGTCCCTTGACCTCACTAATGCTAGACCAACAAAGTAATTTTACCAGCAAGGGGATCTGCGTTGAGTATGTTGGTGAAATTCAACATGATCAAGATGTCATTAAGAATATAGTCAGTGGCAATGTCCCACTGATTCTAATTAGCCCTGAGAATATTACATGCAACCCACTCTATCGAGGAATGCTGCACAATAATGTGTTTAAAGATAATATGGTAGTCTTACCAATTGGTGAAGCACATTGTGTTAAAACATGGTAAGATTGACACTTTTATTACATGAGTAATTATTCTTTCCATTCAGGGGAGATTATTTTCAAACAACGTTGGCTGAATTTGGTCACATTGGCAGTTCTTTACCAAGTGTACCAGTAATAGCTGCAACAGCTACTGCAACAAAGACAACTTTTGAATCTGTGGTAAAGAGTTTGCTAATGGAGATTGTGGTAGTGATAGGGATTTCATCCTGTAGAAACAACATCTTTTTGACTGTTACGTCTGTGTCTTTGAGTAAGTTTGCAAACAATGTGTATACTCAATTGAGGAAGGAAGGATTAAATTACCATAAAAATGTAATTTTTTGCCATTCATATTCAGATTGTAACTTTGTATATGACAAGATAGAGCTATTCCTTGATCTGTACCTCATATATGCCCCTGGAAAATCGATCGTTTGTCAATATTGTCTTCTTGATTTATACACAAGAGCTAGTACAGAAGATGTTGAAAAAAGTCCCTCATGTATTTGTGAAAGAGAGTTCACAAATTAGAATAACAGTAGCAACCTGTGCAGTCAGGATGAGTATTCACTGCTCAGATATAAGACATATATATCACTGGGGATCACATTACCTTGGAGGAATATGCTCAGGAAATAGGCAGAGCTGCACAATATCCCAGAGGTAGAATTACTCCTGGTATGCAAGGGTATAGAAACAAGCATAACAGTGTAAAAATATTCCTATAATTGTTTTCACCACCTTGCAAGTACAACTGGGTTCTTATTAAGACTTATGAAGGTTCTCTCCACCTTCTAATGCTTCTAGAATAGTCTTTAGACAGTACCTCTATGTTCTTTCGCTGTTAGAAAGATCATAACTTTGTCCCATGTGCACGCCGCCATTTTGTGTTGCCGTGACCACACCCACTTACGTAGCATGAACGGGTGGTTGCTAAGGCTTGTTATTTCTCCAATACAACATGTATAGAAGAAATGTAAGTGTTGACATACAAATATATATATATATTGCACATGGGTGAAATCAATCATAGGACGACCTGGGGGCTACGCCCCCAGGTTGTAAAAACGCAATCCATTGCAGGCACAAGTTGATTTATGACACTTTTCTACTTTATGAAGAAACATCTTTACAGAATAACTGTGATTGTTCTGACATATGTGAACATATCTGTAACTGTTCACTGCATAAATGATATGTTTATAATATTAATTGTTTGTTAGTATTATTATTATTTTACAAGGAAAAGAAAGAGCAAAAGAATTGGTGGCTTGCAGTACGCGAATGAAAGTCTGATCCTAATCCAACATAAAACAATACTATAGTTCTGTCCCAACTTTGATGACAATCTTTCAGCTGGCCATTTATAAAAATAGTGGCTTCCTTACCCATCTTTCCATTAAGTGATACACATAGGGGTGTGAATTGAGCTCTTCTTTCATTGCACGCTTGATGGTACTTCCTTTTTTTCTCTCGATCTGCTGCTAGTAATACTTCAGGTGGTGAGCGGTTGCTGTAAGACTGGGCGTCAGTGTCTGATGTCAAACCACCCCTCAGACTGTGGCATCCAGACAGTTCAGCTATACCGAGGCAGGACTACCAGATAAATGATGTGT